TATACACATACTCTGCAAAAGTTTTAGGCCGGTGTGAAAAAATGCTGTAAACAAAGAATGCTTTCAGAAATATAAATGATTGTTTATTGGCCCCAAATGTATTCTGCAGCAGGACAACGACCCCAAACATAAAGCCAAAGTCATTAAGAACTATCTTCAGTGTAAAGAAGAACAAGAAGTACTGGAAGTGATGGTATGGCCCCCACAAAGCCTTGATCACAACAACATTTAGTGTATCTGGGATTACATGAAGAGACAGAAGGATGTGAGGAAGGATGCATCCACAGAAGATCTGTGGTTAGTTCTCCAAAATGTTTGGAGCAACCTATCAGCCGAGTTCCTGTGTGCAAGTGTGCCCAGAAGAACTGATGCTGTTTTAAAGGCAAAAGGTGGTCACACCAAATATTGATTTGATTTTAGATTTCTCTTTTGTTCATTCACTGCATTTTGTTGATTGATGAAAATAAATGATTGACACTTCTATTTTTGAAAGCATTCTTTGTTTACAGAATTTTTTCCTCACCTACATTAAAAATGTTTGCACAGCATAACCACTTTTGGGGTTGTTAATCATGAAAAGTAGTGTACAATGTCTGTAGACCGTACAGGTAATGTATTAGACATGTATTACTTTTCTTAAATTAATCACCTGCCAAAGAAAGTAGTTTGGTACACTATTTTTTACATTACTTTCCTGTTACTCCATAAAATGGCCTGAAATGCACTGTCACATAATTACCAGATAAAATTATAAACCTAAGGTTACAGTCCCACACACCAACATAAATCCTTATTCAAATGAGGACACATATAGAATCCCTTTTGCAGTGTTTATGAACACAAAGTTGACAACACAAAGCAAATATGAAAACCAGCCCGAAGAGACTGTAAAGCGATCTCCACATGATACTACTGTCGAAACATGAACTTTGATGTTTGATTCTTCCCACAGATAACAGAAGAATCTTTGTTACACAAGAAATGGCATAAGTGCAAATCCCTTTTTAGCAGATTATATTTCTTTTTAATATACAACACTGGCAACTACGTTAACAGTGGACTATGCAGCTGACTTCATAAGTATAAATTAGGACTGAGATGACATGAGCCCCTCCTTTACGTTGGTTGCCAACCGCCGTTAAACACAAAGAAGAAGAAGAAGAAGAAGCCATGAGCTGTATTTCAGTTTGTTGAACTCACAGAAATATTGATTGCGAGTTGTTCACACTGTCGCCAGCGTTCACATGCTCTCTGCAGATAGACTGGCCAGCCCCCAGATAGACTGCAAACGCGCTACTCCCGCTGAACCATAATTTCCGCGATTTTTGACACTTCCGCGTTGCCTTCGTTTTTCGGCCCCGCAGGTTGTTGGAAGGTTGTGATTTCTGCAGGATAATGGCGTGGATTAGGAAAACTTTCTGCATGGTTGACTTTGTGTAACATTTTTGTGTAACAGTAGAGGATGTTTAACACTTTTACAGCTGTACTTTGAACCGAATCATCCCATCGAAGTATTACATGGGCTTTGAGAGTCAAGCTTTTGTGTTTTATTAACCAGCCTAGAAGTTGAGCTGATTCACGGTGTTGCTGCGCTTCTTCATTGTTTCGTGTGAACTCTTCTCATGAAGGATCAACCTGTGCAAGTTCACTAACGTAAAGGCAGAGGTAATTGTGCGATTGTAATATGGCTAGCAGACAAATGTGTTACACAGCAACTCATATAATCGTTTCTTGTTTCGTTTTTTTATTAAGTTGGATAAGGTCTGTTAGAGAGCTGTTGATGGTGCACGAACAGGCCTGTGCTGTTGCTGAATGATAGTGATGTGCGGATCGATCCTGAAATATCGATTCCTCCGATACCAATCATTTATGTTCTAGAATCGATTCTCACATTAAAATATCGATATTTTAGTAATTTAGGGTAAATTTGTAGTTTATCATTAACAGGAACA